TGGAGACGGTGGACTGACTCCTGTAGACCCGATGCCGATGATTCAACGTCTGTCGCTATCGTTGGCATTGACGTTGAATTGGGGGACTCGCATGGCATCTCAGAACGACGAACTCTTTGGTGAAATCACCTATGTTGAGGAAGAAGTGTCCAAATTTCGCTCTACCACGGGCAACCTGCAGGACTACATTCCGCTTCTACGACTGAACCCCTTCAGTTTTGGGAGTGCTCATGCCCGGGAGATGCGGCGCAGAAGAGACGTATATCTGAAGAAGCTGAACGACGACTTGGACGACAGGATGGCCAAGGGGATCCATCAACCTTGCATCCAAGCCAACGTCATCCTCGACAAGGAAGCGAAGCTCAACGCCGAAGAACTCATCTCCATTTCCCTTACCATGCTTTCTGGCGGGCTGGACACACTCACCACCTTGGTCGCATGGTCCATGGCCCTTCTTGCGCAACGGCCCGAAATCCAACAGAAGGCCCTCGAGGAGATTCGCAAGGTCTACCCACAGGACCAGATCCTCTGTGACGCGTACGACGACCAATCCATCCCCTACATAGTGGCTCTCGTCAGAGAGCTCCTCCGATACTACACGGTGCTTCGGCTCAGCCTGCCGCGCGCCACGGTCAAGGACGTCGTCTACAACGGCCACACGATCCCCGCGGGAAGCGTCGTCTTCCTCAACGCCTGGGCCTGCAACATGGACCCGGAAGTGTGGTCGGACCCGTTCGTCTTCCGCCCGGAGCGCTGGCTCGAGCAGCCAGACGCGCCGCTGTTCACGTACGGCCTCGGCTACAGGATGTGCGCGGGCAGTCTCCTGGCCAACCGCGAAATGTACACCATCTACCTGCGGCTGCTCAGCGCGTTTGAGATCAAGGACGTCCGCCCGACCGAGGGGACTGGCGTCGTGGACACACACCCGGTCAACGGCGTGCAGGATCCCACACAGCTCGTCAGCGTCCCGCGCCGGTACACGGTCCGGATGGTGCCCAGGGACGAACAGGTCTTGAGGAAGGCGCTGAATGAATATGACGAAAAGCATTCGTGATTTTTTTTTGGGTCAATGAGTAAAGTACGTCATCTTGGTATTGCAGACATGGAGGGGGGAATAGTGTGCTTTTGAGTCTGGGGTAGGTACCATGTGTGTGGCGAACAAAATATGCCATTTGATTATCCATCACTGCACGTGGTCTATATGAATCCGAAGTCTATCCTAGTCTATTGTAATCCGTCGCGGGATGTCCTTGTAGGGCTTCTACAACCTAATCCCGTATATCACTTTCTATTCTTAACGCATGATCGTCCTCGTTGCAACCCATCAATCCCATCCCGTTCCATGTCGAGATCAGGCAATGTTATAAATTGCGTGTCTCTCTCAGCGCGCTCATCTGATGGTCGGCTTCACCGCCCCGTGAGACTCAATAGAGTTGGTCCGGTGTCTGCGCAGACCCTCCTCGGCGAGGTTCTTGACGGTCCTGACGCCCTCGTAGATATCCTTTGTCTCCTCGAGGATGCTGTCCCAGCCGCTGAATTCCGTAAACGGGATGCCTTCCTGCTCGCAGTACGTCACGAGGTCCATGCCTTCTCGGGCAAAGAGCAAGTCTGTCTCGCGCGCGGCGCTCAGGTCCGAGACACCGTCGCCCGCATACAGCAAGGTGGGCCTCTCGTGCGCGGGCATCTTGGCGATGGCGTCCGCGTAGGGGCGGATGGTGAGAGACTTGTCGTGCCCGAAGCCCGAGTCGTCGCGGTACCGGATCGTCCAGCCGTTGGGCTTGTCGAGCGAGTTCTCGGGCGGGCGCAACTGCGTCGCGTTGGCCACGATCTCGAGGTCCTGCATCAGGTCTTCGCCCAGGAGATGCTTCAGCAGGGCCTCCAGCACGGGGGCCATGCCGCTGCTCAGCACGATGACGGGGACCTTCTTCTCGCGGGCCCACAGGACAAAGTCGCGAAAGGCCGGGTCCAGGCTAATGTTCTCCTTGAGGATCTCCAGGACGCGCGGGAAGGGCATGTTCCACGAGTCCACCATCTGCTGGAACGTGTTGCGGAAGTTGTCGGTCTTGTCGATGACGGCGCGGAAGAGCTTCCGCCGCTGATCGTAGCCCATGCCGTAGTTGTCTGTGATGAAGTCGTTGGTGTCCTGGAGCGTAATTGTGCCATCGAAGTCAGTGAAGAAGATGACTCGAGGCTTGGCCTCGAGGGTTTGAGGGAAAGGCATCTTTTTGGGGGGGTTCGACTTGAGATGACACCGGTCGAAAAGGTGAGGAATTGAGGGGGTGCAGAAATGCCACAGATTCAGCGGCAGGGCGAAGAGAGATGCTTTATGGACCGGGTGTATATTGTAGTGCTGGGTCTTATATGTCGGTTTTGTCTTTCTCTGCCGGGGACAAGATCAACTGAAAACGGTCTTGGGAGAGGAAGAGTCCGGCACGAGAACTTCCGGCTATTCTTTGAGTGAGTGTCGGGTCAGACACGAGGGGTGGGCACTGGTGGGTTCAATGGTTAGAGATTTTCTCTCTTCAATTTGGCCAGCATTGAGATCTTCATTTTTTGGCGGGGAGGTTTGGCATAGCCAGCGATAGCCTAAAGAGGAATCCCGGCCAAGACTGCAAATATCAACTAATACCTCGTACTAACGACTCACTAACTCCGTCCACACTATGACGTTGGCGGATCAATTGCTTGATGTCGCCCGTTGTCGGCACCGGCAAACCTTCCTCGACCGAAAAAAACTCGCCGATCAATGGAAAGGAAGCTGTTTAACTACTGCTCTACCGAACCGACAAACTGAATACTGTGTTCGCAGGTTCGGTGGATGTCAAGATCAGATTGCTGCTCGCGATGCAGCAAGCTCCCCTACGGCTGTCCCAGACACTATGGTCCGCCTTTCGAGCCGCGAAGCCTGTCCACCGACCCCTCACATTACCCCGTCAATTCTCCTCGGTGGTGCGACCAAGTGCGCAGCCATGGGCACCCCAGCGGCCAGGAGTAGCTGTTCGAGCTCGGTTTTATAGCGAGAAGAAGTCGGATATCAATCAAGAGATAGAGGATGCGAAGGATCGAATAGGCGAGAGCCTCGACTCAAGAGCCGATACGGCTGCACAGATGCCACACAAGCTCAAGCACCCTCAAGACGAAACAATTATCCACACCATTCCCGAGTCCTCTTCAATAGTACATGCCTCCAAACAAGAGGAAAACAAAAGGCCCGATAAACCAGAACCCGCCCAGTCATCCGGCTCTCCCAGTAAACCTCTACCGTCTGCCCTCTCCTCGCGCTATGCGGACCTTCAACAACGCTTTGGCCATTTTATGGACAACTTCCAAACCCATGTTTTTACCGCCTCTCGCCGACTCAATGATCTGACAGGCTATTCGGGGATTGAAGCACTGAAGACCGACATTGAACGTCAGGAATCTGTGGTCCAGGAGTGTCGTGCCGCTGTGAAGGAAGCCCGGGACCGTTACAGCGAAGCAATTGCTAAACGCAGTACCACGCAGCGTGAAGTCAATGATCTGCTGCACCGGAAGCATACGTGGTCGCCTGCAGACTTGGAGAGATTCACCAGCCTATATCGGTCGGATCACGCCAATGAGCAAGCGGAATCCGCCGCACAAAAGGAAGTAAGCGACGCAGAAGCTCGGTATGAGGAAGCGTCCACCAAACTTGCGAAGGCGATCCTAGCTCGGTATCACGAAGAGCAAATTTGGAGTGACAAGATAAGGCAGATGTCTACTTGGGGCACATGGGGACTGATGGGACTCAACGTGTTGTTGTTCCTCATCTTCCAGGTCGTCTTGGAACCATGGCGACGGAAACGCTTGGTGAAGGGCTTCGAGGAGAAGGTGGAGATGGCGCTCAAAGAAAGGGAAGAGGAAACCAAGATGACAATAGTACAGCCGAACCAGAGCATGGCAGAAGCTGTGGAGGGCATGACAACGGGCGAGAAAGTCGAGGCAGTGGCGGACAACATTGCGGAACAGATTGTCGACGCCGTCACGGGCTCAACATCAGACGAGAAAGCTCCAACGCCACCTCCATTATCGAACATCGAAGCAGCTGCGGAAACTCTAACAGCACGTGAACTCGAAGCTGAAGAGGCCGTGTCTGTGGAAGCTCCCGATTCGCTTCTTCCCAGCATCCCTGCCGAGGAGATCACCTCTACGCAGCCCGTTAACGGGTTCTCACGCTGGACATCCCCGGACTCGCCTCTAGCTTGGTACGAGGACTCCCTGAGGGCACTGTTCAGCGAAGACCACAAGATCCTCGTCTCGCAGCGAGATCTGACCACCGTCGCCATGGAAGGGGTTGCTGGTGGCATGGCCATCATGGGCCTCCTGTTTGTGCTCCTCCGGCCACGGTAGTGTACGACTTTATGTACATATATATGCATCTACCGAGTCCAGTACTGTTGGTCCTTGTTATGTACATACGTATTTCGCACTCCACCTGAGCCTAACCAACTCTACCCTGACCCAAGCTGACCCGACCCAGCCACGATGCCTTGACTCTGATGTTCCATTGGGGTCCATTTTAAGAGCTGGGACCCGCAGAATGAGTTCTCCTAGCTTGTTGTATATATTACATATATATCACGTTTCCTCCCGGGTGCATACCCCAGGGTTACTTGGGGGCAGAGAGGGAGAAAACCTGGACTTAGATTATGAGATTCGACGGAATGTAGAGACTCAGGTAGCACCGTGGGGGCTTTGATGAAATGGAAAAATAAATAATATATGTGGATTTTGTTTTGGCAGTTCTCGCTTGCCCTCCTTACAACCAGGTGATGGAATGCTCTTAGATGTTCTCCGACCACCTGCCACCCGACATCTCCCAGCGTCTTGCTGTCTAATATGTACAATAACACTTGTGATTCCCAAGTTCTGTGCCTAGCTTGTTCTCTTCGCCCTTGACCACTGTCACGCCGCCAATGGAGCACAGTACTCACCCAGTCCAGCGTTTCTGTCTGTTCCTGCTTGACACCTGAACGACTCTTCTAACCAATGATCAATTTGTCCTCCTCAGGGAAATCATATTCAGGTATCTCCAAGTTCAATGGCGCAGGTCCTTTCCTGATTCGTCCCGAAATATCGTAATGCGAACCGTGGCAAGGACAGAACCAGCCACCAAAGTCGCCAGCTTCGCCGATGGGGACGCATCCCAGATGTGTACAGACACCCAACATGACAAGCCACTCGGGTTTCTTGACGCGGTCGGCGTCTTTCTGGGGGTCACGGAGGATTGAGAGGCTGTGGGAGGTTATTAGTACAGGATAGCTTCCTAAGAGCGCACATAGCCTTCGGGAATTGAGGGGGAACCAGGACGTACTCAACAGATTCAGCCTCCTTGATCTCGTCTTCAGTACGGTGACGGATAAAGACTGGCTTTCCTCTCCATTTGATGATGACGTTTTTGCCCTCGGGGATGGAGGCCAAGTCGATTTCCACTTTGGCCTGGGCCAGCACATCGGCAGATGCAGACATGTTTTCTAGGAAGTCTGTGCAGTTTCGCAAATCGGTCAGCTCTGTACCACTTGAATCCGTTGCACCGCTGCAATGGGCTCATGATCCTAGCATGCTGAAGCTCCAATATGGGTGTCTCTACCTATCACGGTGTTTTTCGCCCCGGCAGCAGCCAACAATCCCATTGACCCGGCCATAAAATATTGAAAGACTCGATTCGTGACCTCGGAGTTTTTGGATTCGTACGTCTTGAAGCTGGGGATCTTGCGTGTATCATACTTGGGCGTCCGGAAAGGGCTCTGGAAGCTGGAGCTACCGGATGTTGCTGCCCCGGAGGATTCCAGTCGTCGTTGGGGGATATTTGAAGCTGTGATGGCAAGACGAGAGGATGAGGAAGCGGAGGTGGAGCTGGTAGGAAGGGTGTGTCGGGTCCAGGTGCGCAGGGCAGAGCCCGCTGATGTCGGGACGGGACGCATGGTGAGTGTGAGGAAGAGAAGAGAGACTGTGGTCGTCGAAGTCGAAGCTTGAGGAAATGTTGAAGCTGGTTTACTTGAGGCGCAATTGAGAAGGAGCCCGAGGTGCCGCCAAGAATCAGATCTTTTGCATCGACGCTGATTGGCCGGGAGCTTCCAGTATCAAATGACCAGAATATCCGAATGCTTGACCTTTAGGTGGTACTCTCAACACTTTGACATACACCGACCACCAACATCAAATTGTTGCCACCATTGAGAGCTATTGCGGATGATCATCACCAAGATGTCAATTTCCAGATCCTGCCGTCGACAATCATGCGCGTGATGGCGACCTGTTGTGCCTTTCCAATTGCCTAGGTACGGTGAATGTTTCAGACCCCATCCGCAAGATCCTACCCTCGAGCGAGCCGTGCGGCTAAGGGCGATTAAAGCTACGTGCTATGATTCTGATGAGCTTGTTGGATGATGAGGATGTTCCAAAATCATATAGATGAGGCATAGAGTAAAGTGCAATTGAGCAAGGCAACTCGTCTTTTACAGTCGCAATAGGCTGTTCACCGATGTAGAATTATAGCCCCAATAGTGACACACGGTGTATTGGCGAATTTCGAGCCATGGGAACTCCTACAAAGACGTGGTTACGAACATGATGATTGCTGGTAGGGATGTTTCCTGCTTGATTGGAGTCGGATTTCTAGGTTTCGCCTGCGCCATGCGGACAGATGCTCGGGGCAGACGCAGCAGCACATTGACTCACTTACATTTCCTGGCCAAAACCCTCTTGAGAGCCTCATGTGAAGACTTGTTGTCCCTAGAAAGCCCCCACACAGACGATATTGGGCAGTCGACCAGTCCAATGATGCCGCTGAAGCTCTCACAAAAGCGCCAAACCGAAACAGCCCGCGGCACCGCCGACTGGGCCGCCGTGGTCTGCTTGAGCCTGTGTACTGTTCAGGCTTATTTCCAAGTCTTCTTATCAGTGGCAGACTAGGGCGTCAGGGAATTGCAAAGCCCTGAAGGGAGCATGCCACACCTAAACCGCGTTAACCCTACTGATTGCTGATTCTTCCAGGGTCTACAGGACAACCATGCCTTCCCTAAAGACAATCACATGCGGGTGCCCAATAACTGGACATTGTTTAACGCCACATCGACTGAACTCTCCTGCGAGAGCCTACCCATCTCGATTCGGCGCACAACAATCCTATTCACATGCCCGCATAGGCTCGTGTCGCACACCGGTCAGCTGAAGTCCTACACCCTCCCTGTCTTGATCGGGTATGCGGATGGACGAGGTTGAAAAGTCGACTCCTTTGCCCATTTTCTTGGATTCTTCTCTATCATCACAGGCAATATGTCTTCTTCCGATATGCGACGCAGGCCCACGGGCGACAGTAGTAATCATGGTCGGAGCTTGGGCCGCAGACTGACCGAGTCATTTTCTGTACAAGCCAAGAAAAAGGACCCTGAATACAAAGTCTACCGGGAGCGATACGGCGTGTACAACGGCATGACATGGGAAAAGCTCAAAGGATATCTCGAGCGACGATTCCCACAATCAGAATATCCTGGGCTCAAATTCAACGAAGAGCGCGTATGTCTGGGTCAAAGCAATGCCTGTGTGATGCTCCGTTCTAATCTTCTGTGGTGTCGCAGGTGGGCGATAAATGGGTCTTTGATGTGCCCGAGCCTTTGAATGATGTAAGGTTCAATGGATTCTATTTAACGCCTTGAACCACACTGGCCGGAACGCCTTGTGCTGAATGTCGACACCAGGTGGACAAGAAGGAGCTACAACGGCTGAGGGACGGTGCGACGGATGCCAACACCAACCTCCACGCGCCGGCCACGTCTCGGGCGGAGAAACGTCGGTCGGTGTCCCCCGAGCACAAAGACGGCAAGTAACCACCATTCTACGCTGGATGCCTTGTTCGGCAGATGATTTCCACCAAGGACCGAGCCGCTGCTCTGAGCGGCAAAACAGGTTTGCAGAAGGCGAGGCCCTGTGGAAAGTGGTTCAAGCGGGCAGATTTGGCTGAGGCTGGTGAGGAGGCTGAGTTGGGTGCTTAGTTTGCCTATCCCTTGTCCCTGCAGACCCCCTCTACACCGTACGAGTGTGAGTAAGGTATTGCTGTGGCTTTCCCCTCATGGCTGTGGAGGCTTTGTTGGGCAAATCATTCTATTGATTCGCTTATTTCGGCCCGTACGAAGTGAAATGCGCCCGCCACTTACACTAGGCGCTGTAGCCAAGAGTGACTCCTTCTCTTTTCCAACCTCGATGCTCAGGAATCCTCGTCCTGAAGAATGCCAGCACGGCTCAGTAGGCGATTGTTGCCGCCGCGCAGGGTTGTCTATGCCCATCCGCCGACAAGGGCACCGCCATCGAGGTGGCGGAACGAGAAGGAGCAATATAACTAGAGAGCCGTACGTCCCCGTCAACACTCTTCTGTATCAACACACTCTCATACACACTCTCTCGCTTCAGCAATGCAAGAACTACAGATCCCATCGAAGCTACAGGAATCGTATCTGAGTTGGGCCCAGTATCCGGAGAACCTGCTTTCTAGCAGCACAGACACCTACTCTGGCGATTTACAGATATATAAACGGCTGCTAGACCGTGTCGAAAATGATCTATTCGTCGACTGTGGTCCTGATGCGGATATTGAAGTTTCATTTCGAGACCTGCACAATGCATCTGGAAATGGTGCCATTGCCACTCCTCCATTACGTTGCATAACTAACAGTCATACCAGAGCTGGAGAAACTCAATGCGCACGATGCAGTCAAAGCGAGGAACTTCTTGGGTTTACAACTGGTTCCTGATGCGAATAACCCGGCAAAGTCGGTAATTATTGCACAAAGAAGAGACCCAGGGTCCCGATTCATGTGAGCTTGTCACCATTGTGTAGAGTTCACCATCATTGAGAATTTATAGATATATCAAGGGCCAGCACTCCCGGGCTCCGCTGAACATCACACGTCAACTGATGTGCGAGATTTTCTCCTACCATCAGGTCATGCCTATTTACCTAGACTTCATGTTTGTCTTTGGTGCACAGAGCGAGCCAAGGGATCGAAGATTCAGCGGCTTTCGCCAACAAAGCTTTCTGTCCGATCCGCCTCGTGGACTACCGGTCCCAAGTCTCGGGCGAAGTGGACGACTCTACCAGCTGTGCTACAATCTGAAAACGGTGACTTTGAAGTCTGAAGACCCCAAGAACATCAGTTTGAACGAGTGGTCAGTTCAGCCTGCCGCAATACATCACCGGTTCGACATTGTCTACGGCACAACGCTTTGGATAGTGACAAAAGGGGGGGACGACCTGCTCGAACGCTACAAGTCGTTGACGGGCCCGGAAGGGAGGCCAGAGAACAAGACATTTGACACGTTACAGAACAGTTTTCGAGCCAGCCTTGGCCCCCATTTGCTCTTCGCTCACTGGTCGACGGCAAACTGGCGGTGGTACATACTATGGCTTGAGTCTTTGGTTGAAAAGGAGACTTCTATGGCAGTCCTTGGTCTCCGTGGGTCAGGCCGAGCGCAGTACACCTATACTATCCGACACCTCCAAACCGTTACGGCGCGGGAAGACCAGATTAGTGAAGCCATCATGCTGCTGGAAGCCAATGTGGACGTCATGCAGTCTTTGTGTAACTTCTACGACAGCCTCAGGACCAAGAAAGAGATACCCCAGACCCTGCGAGATGAATGCGACACCGACATAACCACATTCATAGCCCAGGCCACCGACATGATATCGAACTTGAAGCTGCAAATTGTTCGGGCGAATCTACTGAACAAGATCACCAAAGACAGAAAGGAGCTGGTTAGTGTGGCACATACAGAACGGGCGGGAGAACCAGAACTGACAGTCCTCCTAGATCATCCAACTGCTACAAACCCAAGCAGCAGAGCGCATGGAAGAATTGAACCTGAACATGGAAGGTGAAGCCATTGTCATGCGAATCATCACTATTGTCACCTTGGTTTATCTCCCCGCAACATTTGTTTCTGTAAGTGCAAGGCCAACATCCACCCGAATAGATCTCCCTACTGACAAAACAAGACTTTCTTCAGCACCGATATTATCAAGTATCAGGATCAGGCTGGGGGACCGCCTACCGATGGCGTCTTCTCCAGTGTGGCAATGTATAGATGGTTACAAGTGACCCTGCCTTTGACCTTTTTCACATTCATCGGAGCATTTTGGGCCCTTAGGATTGCAGAGAAAAAGAGATGGGGAAGGGATGATCCAAGTCAAAAGCAACAGCCACGGAATCTCACTCGCTCTATGTCAGACCCCAACTTTGACACGATACTACCAACTGTCAACAACGCTGGCAGTGTGGTCTGAGCCTGGCTGGGTTTGCGTTGTGATCTCCAATCGCAGACTTAGGTTACGAACCCGTCTAGAAACGCATGTCTTCTTCAGGTGGCATTTGGCCCATCTTTCCCATTCTGTTCTCAGTCATCAAAATGGTCTATCAGACTCGGTCCCAAGAAACAGATTCTAGAAGACCAAGATGAGCCCTGCAGCAAAATCTACTCGGGGTACTTGTTCCGGCAACTAGACAAGCGACCACCATCAACTAGTGACCTAGATATATACATGTTTCCCCCCAAAACACACACACACACACACACACACACACACACACACATCGGTTCTGACCCCTCTCTGGACGGGCGATGGCTTCACCAAATGCCCCAATTTGGAAGACTACATACGCCTAAACCGCTGACCTCCCCAGGCCTCCCTGGAGCGGAAGGACGCGCCCGAGGCCACATCCCTGAAGCTGTTAGCGAGTAACCCCAGGGAGACCAATAAGACACCTCGCGCTGCCTCCACCTGGAGCCTCAGCTGAAGGAAATGTGGCTGACCCGACCAATACACACTCGAGGGAGAGGCATCCAGCTGGCTCCACGAACGCCGCCAGGACTCAAAGGCGTCTCCCTTGGTAGGCAACTCGCAAGTGGGCCGTGGGCCGGGTCGAAAGGGCCGCTGAGAGCATGGCTTCATGCCAGCATGCTACTAGAATCGTTCGGGCCCTAGTGGGGCATGCTCGACATACTCGTATGGTCCGAGAAGTATTAAACCTGGCCAGGCCCCTCCTGCAGCCTCATTGCAATCTCGAGAACAAGCTGCCTTTTGCTCTTCATGCCAGCCGCAGCCCGTTCTTGACCTGCGCATTCTGATCTGACTCCCTTTCCCACCACCTCGATCCTACTAGATTCTCGTTGCGACCGAGCTAATGCCCTTCTTGTGCCTGTCCTCAACATGAATACCCGAGCCAGGGCGTCCGTTCCATCTGATCTGCTCAAGGAGTTCCAAGCCAATCTGCGGGCCTGTTGGAAACAAGAAACATTCTGTGGCCGTTACTATATCAAGACCAGTCAGCTCCAGGAATGGATGGCATCCGTGGGAGAAGGGCAAAAGGCCACGAACTTGAAACGACTCCTTACCGAAGTCTGGCGTTCTCGACACGATGCGACCTTTCCACCGACGGCTGAAAAAGTCTCTAGGGCCGTCATCGTCTTCAGTGTCCTCCTTGATATCGGCTACGGGCATCTTGTAGACCTCTTCTGCCGCGCAGAAATAACCGACGCAAGACTGTCAGCAGAACACAACTACAAGCATCTCAAGCGGCATTTGGGGAACGCCAATGTCCCCGAACCAGACGCCGTAGTCGATGCCTTTGAGGAAAGAAGATGGTTCTTCTGCCCTGTGCTTCTCAAACGGCATATGCAAGGGGACTTCGGCAGGGGGTGTGTCTTTCCGTACTACAAACGTCAGCCCGTCAATGGCAAGGGTGGAACAGCAGAGGTGTTCCAAGTTCTCGTCCCCGCCGAATGTATCGCCGAGGATCTGAAGCAATTTCTCCGGGCATCAATGGTTGAGTACAAAGACAAAGGGAAGGTGAGTATGTTTCTAGCCCGGTCGAGTCGTGCATTTGGGTTTGACATTTCTTTAGTTCTACGAGATGGCGCTCAAATCCTACGGCTCTGAGAATCAAGCCATGTTTGACTGGGAGAGGAACGCCTTCGCCGGCCTGGAGGACCAAAAAGGCATGGTTCGCTATATCGGCCATTATTCTTATGAGGAACCCCCAGCAGGTTTAACCCATAACATCCTACTCGAATTCGGAGAGCTTGACTTGGACGAATTCTTTGCACACGAGTTCTCGAGCCCCCCAGTGCGGTCTCCTGAGATTATCTCATTCTGGGAGTCGTTGTTCCAAGTCGCAGAGGCACTGCAACGCATACACAATCTCAAAATCGACCAGGACGGTCAAACAGAGGAATACTATGGGTATGCTACAGGACCCTACTTCCTCGCGTGATTCCTGTCACTGACCTTCTGCAGTTGGCACGCCGATGTCAAGCCAGACAATATCTTGCGGGTTCACGGCGAGTTCAAACTGGTTGACTTTGGGTTCACCAAGTTCAAGAAAAAAGGGAGTCAAGCCATTCCTATGGAGTATATGGATGGCGGCACTCAGAGTTATGGTACTGTGGACTCCTCAAACAAGGCTGGGGAGAGCTCTGGTTCTAATTCCTCTATAATAGGCGCCCCTGAGACAGATCAGTCACGGTCCAAGACACGCACTCCTCACGGTCAGACTATTGACACTTGGTCTTTTGGATGTGTGCTATCTCGTGCAGCAACCTGGGTCATCCTGGGCCAGCAGGGAATACTCCAGTATGACTTTGTCAGAAAAGCAGCTATTAAACGCCTCCGAAAGCCGTCAAAGACCGACAAAACGGCCAGCTCAAGATGTCCAACAGCCGATGACGCTTTCCATAATGGTCGCAAAGTATTGCCAGAGGTTCTTCAGTGGCATGACTATCTGCGGAGCATAGTGCGCACCTCAGACACTATCTCCTGCCTGGTGCTTGATCTTGTGGAACATCACATGCTGTTGGAAAGCCCTGAAGACCGAGTCAGCTCTAAAGGGCTATGTATGAAGCTTGACGACATTGTGCTTTTGGCGAACGCCAAAGCTGATCGAGACGAGTGCAGCAAACTTGTCGCCAATACTCTCCTCGCAGACTTGTACAACTTTGACCAGGAGGCGCCAGCCAATGCAGATCAAGCCGATCGGTCAAAGGACGCCAAATCGATCAAGACGTCTGGACGCATAGGCAAGTCGCAGCGACTTGACAATATACCTCCAGCGAAAACAGCCCACCGTGCAGAGATGTTGACCGAGAAATTACAAATCTTGGGAGAGGAAAGTCCACCACCTCGGCAAGCAACGCCGCAACCCCATCTCAGAAGCGGCTCCAGTTATCTCGACGGCTTGCAAGTGCATGAGAGTCCACGTGGCTATACAGACAGCGATGACGATGTGTCTCTGTTAATCCCTCAACTATCTCCATCGTCAAAATCCGATGGAGCTGCTGTCAAGCCCGAACGTGGCTCCCGGAGGTATTCCGAATTGGAGCTGATGTCTCGTCATATATCTAGTCAGGCCTTGGAGGATCCTGACGGCGCCAGTGTGAGCCCAGCAGAGAAAGTCAGGGACGATGTTCACGGAAAGGTACGTTTTGATGACAGAAGGAGTATGTCGCAAAGCGAGAAAGCGCGGGGGAAGATGCCCTTGTATGAGCCACCTGTTCAGGGCCTCGGAGACCAGCAGCGTCGTTTCAGCAAAGCCCCCTCTTATACTACTGAGAAACAGCCGGACGTGGCAGCAGAAGAACCGCCATCTTCGAGTCGGCGAGATTCCAAGCTTGAGACAACACAATCTCTCGAGCTTTCCAGCTCTTCGATCTCGTTTGACGATCTATTCGCTGCTCCGCCTAAATCGACTCGAAAACACGACAACTATGATATATATCGTGTCAAGGCAGACCTCGAACAAACACGTCATTTCCTGACCGGCAAGGTCAAGGTGGACAAGTCCTTGAAGGACAAGATCGTCAACCGCGACATAGTAGGTCCTACTCTGGGTCCGTTGTGATTCTGATGTCCATCTAACAGATTTCCGCAGAAATTCATCATTGACAACGGCTCTAGCATGCTTCATTTCTGGCCTGAAGCAACGGACGTCTTGGAAACCTTGGCCATGAAGCTTGCTCCCCTGGATGACGATGGTCTGGACATGGTCTTCACCAGTGGACCTCTGCGGCCATACAATAAAGGAGGCAAAAAAGCCGCCAGCAAGTTTGCGGGCCTGATGAAGGAGAAAACACCGGCGATGCCCCCGGACCCCACTTTAGAGGTTAAGACAGACATGACGGAGACGCTCGGGGTGGTCTTTGACGAATACCTGCAAAGCTACAAGAACAAACGCATGACTCTCCTTGTGCTCACCGACGGCCTTTGGAGAGGCACCAAGGCCGAGAACCCGGTCGAGGTCAAGATTGCCAAGTTCCTGAAAAAGGTTCTCGATGGGAACCATATGGAGGACCGGCGATTCAGCATATCGTTTATCCGGTTTGGCGACTATCCCGAAGCTGTTACCCGACTGTCGTGGCTGGATGATGACTTTCCCAAGGTCTACCGTGTCCCGTAAGTTATTTATCGCTTCTGTAATCAACTTATCCCTTTTCTCCCATCCGAGAATTGTTGTGAACTAAACTGACTGTACGATTTGCGCCCAAAGTGACATGATCGACCACGTCCCCTGGACGGGCCCAGTCAACAAAATGATCCTTGGAAGTTTTGATGCCAACCAAGACGACAAGAACAACGATTCCTGACATGACGACACAGTGTCGAACAGGGACGACGATACTTGAGGAGATCAATACTCCTCTGCATTAACCAGGGCCAAAGCTTTTACCGAGCTACCAGCAGAGTTCTCCCTCGAGCGACGAAGACCCTAAGACCTTTCTCGAAGCCGCGCACGAAGCCTGGCTTGTTACCGTTGTGGACTACATCTATTTCTGATCTATCCCAATACAGGATGGTACCGGACCGTACGTGGAGGGCTGAGGCCCCTTATTTATCCGTCAGGCAACCACCCCTTTTAGTGGCGTGCTCTCTCCCACACAAACCCATGCCATGCTGGCTTACAAAAATCGACACAGACCCGCGGACAGAGTACACATATTTCACTCAACTCTGGACCATGCTGCACGACTACCTATTCTTACGATGATACTCCTGGCGAAACACGGACACCTCGCCATTTTTTATTGGAATTTGGGGGAAACTACCCACTCTATTTGAGGATCGGGGAATAACTACTAAACATATTTGATAAAACGGGGGGAAATTTTTTTAATGACTTTACGACTTTTATTCTTTTGACTTACTAGGGAGGGAGAGGAAAAGAACTAAAACAAAAAACAAAAAAAAAGAGAAGAAAAAAATGTTGGCTGGCCGGTTCACTGTTGTGTACCGGCCGGCTAGCGGCCAGCGACTGGCTATACATTCATGATACTACGCGGACAAGACACGTGAGATGGACACGGGACATGGGACATGGGATGAGTTAATGACCTCTGAATGACACGATCTCTTGGGAATAGGGAGATGGAGTTATTGAGGTACTGGGGGATTTCATAAACGCGCATGAATTGATCAGAGTGCGGGTGGGTGGGTGGTTGGTGATGCTAGCGGTTCTTTCTTGAGGGTCTATGTATATACCCGGTATCTGTCTATGAATGATGTATGGATGGATGGACGAATGGGTGGACCCGTCAGTCACAGAGGGGGGAGGGTCTATCTAGTCAAAATAATGTATATACAAATTCATATAGCCATGGCTATACATATAGGTGTGGCGATACTCTGCAGAGTCTCCTCCTCGACCTCGACCTCGACCTTTACCTCTAGGCTCTGGAAAATTAAATGAAACCCCTATAAACTTTGCTACGTAGAGAGAGACTTTGTGTACTGGTATTCTTTCTCCGTGTACACATATACAGATAGATGCAGCGATAACCAGGGAATATCTCCTTCCTTTCCTTCCATCAACTACCCAACTCCCTAGGTAGGTAGGTAGGTAGCCACTAACCAATCCAATAAGGCATCGTACATCATGGTAGAGGCACACTCGTTAGTTGGCTTGTCTCCCCGCCCTGCAACAGAGACGTTCGTTGGCTGTGGTTGAATTGACAAGCATTCAACGCTACAGGGTACATGGATATATCAATATACGTTTTTTGTATGCGTATGTACGTATTTCATCCGTGTCAACAAACAAGCCAATTCCGCAATGAATGGAAAAGTGGCCGACTGAGGCGGTATGCCATACTCCTTACTCCTGGACATGTAGATAGACGTCTCCCGCAACACACTCTCTCTGCTCTTGAAGCACCTTCATGTCATGACACACTTTCATTTTCATGTGTTTATGCAAAAACTCCTTTTCCGTTCCCAAACACTCGGCTCGATACCGCACACTTCATACTATCATCCACTCATCTCAATGTCCCTAATTGGGTCGGGATGGCTGTGGTTGCGTGAATGGTGGCCGCTGGACGAAGGACGGTGCACGTCAACCCCATTCACTGGTGTGCTGCCGTTCACCACCCCATTAACGATGCCGTTCTGCTGCGGCTGCTGCTGCTGCTGCTGACGATATCCGTTCTTCATCATAGTCTGGATCAAGAGGGTGCTGCTTTCGCCACCGACGCCATTGACCCCATTCACCTGCCCCGTCTCTGCGGCCTTGGCAGCGGCCTCACGCGCCTTTTCCTCCTTGAATTGACGGTACGTTTTGGTCTTGGGGACCGTGTCGGATAGGAATTCTAGGTTATCTACCCTAGACACAGCCGTGGCTGTTTTTTGTGAACAACCGTTTGTCAGTAAGACGTGATACAAAGAGCGTGCTGCTCTCGACCAAGTTCGAGTCCGGAGGCTTCGATCTCTTTCTTACCTATGTCTTTGTAGGCAATGTTCCTCCTGGGTTTCCGCTCTGACTTGACCACGTTGTGTGCTTGTTCAGTCAGATAACGGATGAATATTTCCTAGTGGATGGCGATCAGTCCACCTCCCTTGAGAGTTTCGACTTCGGGGGGGAGACCCTGGATAACGTACTGTCGCCACTGATATCGCAAAAGCCGCTGGATTGGAGCACTGTGTAATGTCCTCATCCTGAGCAATGACCTTCTTGACCCGTGCCACTTGTTCGCGATGGTCAGCAGTGTTGGTCGCATCAATGAAGAAACCCGGGTGATGACTAACGGGGAAGAGCGGTTGAGCCCGTTATCTCTTCTGGGGGTTCTATCGGGGCATTGTTGTAAGGCATAGTCGTGAGGGAACGATGTCTGCTCTTTATCTTTCTTTTGAAATGTCTTTCTGGCGGGGGTAAGGAAATGTTTTTCAAGCTGGGGTTTGCTCAGATCCCCCACAATTTCGGCAGGGGCAACGCCTGTTCGTCGGATGGGCCTGGATTGGAACTTTTTCTTCAGGAGCAATGAATACCACGACGCGTGCCAGGGAGCAGTAGACTGTGTTCCAGACGCTGTATGAAAGAGCAGTGGATGAGCACGAGATATCCAAGACTAGAAAAACGCGGTTGGCTCCGTTGAGACTGGCAGACAAGTTGATACTGAGGGTTTGAAGAAGCAACAAGTCGCGTCGACACATTTCATATCGAAATGTCACGTTCTGGGCGCGTCCCAAAGAGGAAAGGCGGACGACGTTTCGGGCGCCACGGCGCAAGGCGCATGTGCTGCATTGGCAGCCTCAATTCTTGCTTCTAAGATACAACCAGCCTCTGCTCGGAATGTTCCTCTGGCCATGCTAATCGATCCGATGTTATGACCTCGCGCGTCTTCTCTCCCTCATCCGCCTCCGCCTCCGCCTCAGCCTCCGGCACTACTCGTCGACCGTCCATCTCAGCCCGGCGACTTACCAGGCGACTCTCGTCCCTGTCAGGCCTGGAAAATGGCGAGGCTCCTCCCCTTGTTGCACCGGCGGCGCAGGCTATCACGGAAGAGATTGCAGAGATAAAAAGATATGAAGATTTCACCACCATTGACTGGGTCCAAGATGCCGCTCAAGAACAACTGCGTCGTCGCACCCGGCGGAGAGAGACAAAGTTCTTTGAACGGGATGGCGTCTTGGGTTGGCGGCGCAAGCTGTGGGAGTCCTATGATGCGGCACAGGCATGGATCGTCATTACGCTGGTCGGCATTGTCATTGGCCTCAATGCCGCCGCGCTGAACATCATCACGGAGTGGTTGTCCGACATCAAAATGGGGTATTGCACGACCGCCTGGTATCTCAATGAAGGCTTCTGCTGTTACGGCTCCGAGGAGGGCTGTGACGAGTGGCACAGATGGACTTCGGTCACCATTGTCAATTACTTCATCTATGCCATTTTCGCCGTGCTGCTGGCCTTCGTTTCTGCCTACTTGGTCAAGTCCTACGCTCCTTATGCTGCCGGTTCCGGCATCTCCGAGATCAAGTGCATCATTGCGGGCTTCGTCATGAAGGGCTTTCTAGGGTTCTGGACCTTTTTCATCAAGTCCATCTGCCTCCCTCTGGCTATCGCTTCTGGCCTCTCGGTGGGCAAAGAGGGCCCAAGTGTACATTACGCTGTCTGCGTGGGAAATGTCATTTCTCGATTCTTCGGCAAGTACAAACGAAGCGCCTCCAAGACCCGCGAGATCTTGACAGCGACCGCCGGAGCTGGAGTGGCCGTCGCGTTCGGCAGTCCAATTGGTGGCGTGCTGTTCTCCCTCGAAGAGATGGCATCTTATTTCCCGCTCAAGACCCTGTGGAGAAGCTATTTCTGCGCCCTTGTTGCGACTGCCGTGTTGAGTGCAATGAATCCCTTCCGCACTGGTCAGCTGGTCATGTTCTCCGTCAAGTACGACAGAGACTGGCACTTTTTCGAGGTCTTCTTCTACATTATCCTGGGCATCTTCGGCGGGCTTTACGGAGCCTTCGTCATAAAGTGGAACCTCAAGGCTCAAGCGTTCCGAAAGAAATACTTGTCCAAGTACGCGATCCCAGAAGCCGTGATTCTGGCTGGTGCCACGGCGCTTCTTTGCTACCCCAACATGTTCCTCAGAATAGACATGACCGAGATGATGGAGATGTTGTTCCGCGAATGCGAGGGTGACTACGACTACAACGGACTCTGCGAGGCAAAGAATCGACTCTCCCTTATTGGTTCTTTGCTGGTTGCAACTCTCTTGCGCATATTCCTCGTTATCATTTCCTACGGGTGCAAAGTGCCTGCCGGTATATTCGTGCCGTCTATGGCGATTGGAGCCTCCTTTGGCCGCATGTTGGGCATGATGGTACAATGGCTGTATGAGACTTTTCCGGATTCAAAGTTCTTCTCCGCTTGCCAGCCCGACGTGCCATGCATCACCCCGGGCACGTACGCCTTTTTAGGGGCGGGTGCAGCGCTGAGTGGGATTATGCATCTGACAATTTCGGTCACTGTCATCATGTTTGAGCTTACCGGGGCTTTGACATATATACTGCCGACCATGATTGTGGTCGGTGTCACGAAGGCCGTGGGGGACCGATTCAGTAAGTCGGGTATCGCAGACCGGATGATCTCCTTCAGTGGCTTTCCGTTCCTCGACAACAAAGAAGAACATTCCTTTGGGGTGTCAGTGTCCCAGGTCATGACCAGTAATATTACGATACTTCCTGCAACCGGAATGGAGGTCAAGGCTGTGGCGAAACTACTCGATGACACATCCTACTCAGGATTTCCAATCGTGGAAGACAAGGATTCGAAAATCCTCGTGGGCTATATCGGGAGGACCGAACTCCAATTCGCCATCGATCGCGCAAAAAGACAGGGCGCGTTAGCCTCAGATGCCAAATGTATATTTGCGACGGAGCGAGAGGATGGTACTGAAACACCAACCCCCCTCAGTCCGACTGTCACTCTGGATTCGGCGACGGTACGAAGCGTGGACTTTAGCCCATTTGTCGATGCGACTCCAATAACCGTCCATCCGCGCTTACCGCTTGAGACAGTGCTCGAGATTTTCAAGAAGATGGGTCCACGGGTGATCCTCGTCGATCATCATGGTCGTCTCGAAGGGTTGGTTACTGTCAAAGACTGCCTGAAGTACCAAGTCAAGGTCGAGGCACAAGAGCACTCGGCGGCTGCGAGGGACCAGTCGGCAATACAGCAGGAGAGATTCGTCGATGTCCTCGGGAGGATTGGTGAGTACATTGCGGATAAGATCAACGATCTTTCACGTGGTCGCCTAAAACTCAGTCCTCGGACTGTCAGCGGATGGACGAGAGTGGCTGGAGACGATAGACGTGGCAATTTTGCAGATGATTACAGCCATGAGAACGACATATTGGATGGGACTGAAGATGTGCCTGAACATGGCCAAGAAGGCGTCGAACTAGATACGAGATAAAGATGGTGGGAAGTTATGTATATTTCACAAGGCGAACGAAAGTCGAGATGTCCTCCAGCACCGCCGATCTCTATTCTGCCTTTCATCTTTCACTAACAGTCGGTTCTGTGCAGCCTGCCAGTGAATTCGCGGACATCTTAGAGTTTGAAAACGACTTCGACGCCAGCTCTTGTCGCCAGAGGTCTTCTTGTTCAGCACTGCGGGATTTTGACTCGGATATCCCATCGGCAACAGAAAATCCCCCGAAGTCTTTCTCCTACGACAATAACTCCCCTCAGGAAGGGCTGCTCGATCTGAAAAGCCCACCTCCTACCTCTGCTTGAATACCCCTCCACGACAGATGGACACCTCCTCAGCCTCCGTCAACCACTCACTAGAAGCCGATCAAGGCCATGCTCTTGACCTGTATGACGACCTCTTTGAGATAGACGGTCTCACTCTCGAGGAAGAGCTGGCGGCCTTATCCGACGACGCATCAAGTGATGGCACCGAGCCGGCCATGACAAGTGACAACCGCCAGAAAAAGTCCACTGAGACAAAACTCCCCACGACCCCATCGTCCTTTGCTCGGCTCACCGAGGGCTTCCTCGACGACTGGTCCGACAATCTCAAGGCGCTCGCGTCGTTGCCGAGCACAGAGGCGAACAAAGCCAATCTCATCAGTCACGCAAACGCGTTATCCTCGTGGGTGAGACACAATGTCCTCCCTCGTGTCTCCGCGCTCGAAGCGGATTGTGCACAGGTCAAAGCGGCCAAGCAGGAGCTAGAGGCAGATTACGAGGCGCTGCTGTCCCAGGCTGAGGAGGTGCTTGGCCGGTACGAGGTGCTCTACGAGGCTTACTCGAAGGAATACGACGTGAGTCGGGACAAGACGGAGAAGTTGTGGGAGGTTTGCCTCCTGGTGGAACAGATAGGGGAGTTTGCACAGATGGGCAATGAATCTCTGGGCGAGTAAATCTGATGGAGACTACGGAATGAGCCTGATGAAAACGAGCGACTGAGGAAAGGGAGCTAGTTGGTGTCATACTTCCCTAGGTACCCAGGTAGCTATGGCGTAGAAGGGTGTTGGATGAGGCGCCCTGTAACCTTATATACCTCGTACTTGGACTCATGCCCCCCAACGCTACTACTGGAAAGGCGAGGGACGTACAGTATAAGTACATCACACTCCCAGCGACCTAGTGCCTACAAGTATTTGACAGGGATCCGGAAAGCTGTCCGGACAGCCAGGAACCTCATAAACTAAAGGATAATGCCATCTTTACGATGGGATGTAGCGGCTGTCGTTGATTCTTCCGATCTTCTACGTAATTGAGCGAATTGAGCGAAATCGCGGCTATATTACCTGTCGAATGTCGTCTGCTCATGCTCGTTCCCTAGTTCTCTGACGGTGTTGGCTTGGCTACTCGTATGAAGTGTAAGTAGTTGTAGTTCAGAAATGCCGTCACTTGCTATGATGCTGCCATCATGCCACTATGAAGCTCGGAGGCATAGGGATAGAGTTGTAAGTGGGAACGCGTATATTAGATGCTGCTTTACACAGGACGCGCGTCGAACCACCAATAGGGTCCCGGAATTTGACTTGAATCGCTTAGGCGGCAACAAATATGGCCGAAGCTAGAACTTTAAAGCCTGGTTGCTGAGGCAGCCGGTTCGAACGTCATTCATTCACATTTGATATTATCAAACTCCCCCTCTTCCTCTCTTTTCACGACCAACTCTCACAAAAAACAAATTACCAACTTCATTTTCTACAACACACTCCGTATCACTGTGTAGACCACAATTTTGGAACTCACAGCCTGACTTCTTTCCACGGAGTTCGCCCACGCACAAGATCTGGAGCGCACCAACATGCCTCGGACCCGGAAATCCGCCACTCGGCCTAGCCAATCTCTCCAGTCGACTCTCTCCTTCAACAACAAGTCCGCGCGGGTGACGAAGCCGAGCGCCAATGCGCAGAGAGACGAGCACAGCGCTTCGGCGAAGAAGCTGGTAGAGGTCGCGGACAGAGACAGGTTGCAGACTGAGCCGGAGGTGGTGGAGGTTAAGAATGAATTGACCTTAGAGGAGACGGAGGAGGGCTCGCAAGATATCAAGGCGGAGGTAGCGGTACCAAGTCAAAGTGTAGAGCCGGAAGAGGCAGAACAGGAAGAGGAGGTAGAAGAGGAGATCGAGGTGGAGGTCAAGACGAGGTCCAGAAGGAAGCAAAAGGCCCAAGCTGCCGGGGACAAGGACCAGCGTGAACTCGCAGCCGAGAAAGTCACGGATTCGCAACTGAAGAAATACTGGCAGGCCGAGGAGGACAGTCGGCTTGCTCCTAGAGGTATGTTTCCATTTCCCCACAGCATGCACGTTTTCCACGGATGTCAAACACCATTGAACACACTCGTTTTCCCCATGTTTGTACACGACTGTCTCCCTACCAGTCCCGAATCCCCTTTCATCCTTCTATTCCCTTGAAAAACATCTTCCCAGTCCGTCAACCTTGCCTGCAAATTCCCCTGCCATGCCCATACTAACCCATACCCCCACAACAGTGCACCAATCCGACCTGTCCCTCCACGAAAAGATCCTGCGCCACTTCGACCTCTCGTCCCAATACGGTCCGTGCATCGGCATCCCGCGTCTCCAGCGCTGGCGGCGCGCAAACACACTCGGTCTCGAGCCGCCCGTCGAAGTCCTCGCGGTCCTGCTGAGAGAACAAGACGGCGCCAAAACCCAAGGGTGCGGCAAGATGGCCTACATTGACGAGTTGAGCGGTGGTCGGGTCGTTTTGGTCGAGTAAAAAGACAAATTGGCATCGGGGTTGTGCTGGTGGTTGGGTGGGTGGGTGGCTGACAGCTGTGATTGACTGCTCAAATCGGCGCAAAAAAAGGAATTGCAACGACTGTGATGGACTGTGGCATAAATACTGCAATCGTGGGCTTATTCATTGGGGTGGAATTTAATCCGGGTTTCTGTACTTGTGGACTTGCAATTTCTCTATACAAAAATGACCTCACGTTAGTCACTGTGCGGCATGAAAGACAGAAGCGTGCTGTACTACCAAATTGCTTGAAGCAGAGTAGATTTCATTACCGCCTCGGGTCTAATGTTTGTTCATTTACAAAAAAAGTCGCTTGCTTGGCCCTTTCTACTCGAGTCGCCCGTGACCCTCTGTTCTGCTAGCATGACGTGAAAACGACCGCTGAACTCATGTCTGATGTCGTACACGGCACCCATGCGCACCATAATGCTTCCTCTTCAACAACAGAGTCGCCAAGTTGAACTCCCGGTAAAGAAACATACCTAGCCTGCAACCGCTCTTTTCCCATCGCCCGCCCCCCATTGCCAAACCATCGTCAAAAGGGTCGTAGTGATATCTCGGTATGCTCTAGATCAAAAGACATGGAACCATCAAAAAATCGTGTTCTCATCTTAAGCACCAAATTCGGGCACCGTCGACGTCTTGCCGAGAAGAGCCAAGGGTACGATACCTGAGACGTGCATCTCTGGGCCGTAAACATGCATGTCCAACTTCAACTCCTCACCAACGGACTTGATGTTCTTGAGACCCTCCTGGTAGTTGGGGCCAGCGCGACGAACCCAGATCTGAACCTTGTGCTCATTGAGGGACGGGGCCACCTCCCTGAGTGCACGGATGACACCCTTGAACGTTGAGGCGACGTTTGTAAAGTTGGCAATACCGCCACCAATGAAGAGCACCTTGCCATCAGGGTGCATGGGTGCGCGGAGCATCAGGTCGAGAACAGTTCTCGCGTAGTTGTACGTCTGGGTCTCAGTCGGGGCCCCGGAGTATTCACCGTAATTGGCCAGCTCGCTGACAAACCCGGCGGAGGCAATAGCGTCGGCGTAGACCACCGAAGCACCACCACCAGCCACCAAAGTCCAGATTCGGCCCTTGGCATTGAGAACGGTCAACTTGAGCGAAGCACCAGTCTTTGCATCCATGTCCGCAATGTACTTCTCCTCTTTGCTGAGCTCACGGCCGAAAGGTGCAGGGAACTCCATCGGCGGCCCAACGTCAATGGTGACTTTTCCATCGGCTTTAACTCCGGGAAGGCCAAGAGCAGCAGGGCTTCGGGCAATAGCCCATTTGACACCGCACTCAAAATCGGCCGTTTGATCGAGTTTGGCAGCAAGGTCAAGGAAGTGGACTTCGGCGGAGGTGCCTGCGGCGTTGGGGATAACGACCAGGGGGTTGATTTCAAGGTAGGTGAATTGGCAGTCCACGTAGACGGAGTACAATCGAACAATGAAGTCGATCAGCACATTGTGGACACCCTTGGGCACATCTGGCAACAGAGTCGCAGCCAGCTCTTGATTTGAAGGGAACCTCTTCAGATCGACTGGGACCAGGATCTTCTTGGCCTTTGCATCAACATCACCGACATCCACACCACCCTCGTGGGTGAAGAGGATCCAATCACCCTAAAGATCGCTGTTAACCTGTGAACTGCGGCAAATGAGGGCACATGGTGGCTGGAACTCACATCTCGCACAGAGTTGATATTAATGTAGTATTCGGTGTCTTGAGGATGAGGCACAAAGGGTTCAACGAGGAATTGGGAGAGTATGCCTGTGACATGCTCGACCTTGACCTCCTTGCGGGCTCTCTCCTCGATCCATTTCCTAGCCTCTGACCAGGGCTTGTTCAAGGCCAAAAGGCCGCTCTTTCCTCTTCTCTTGATCAGTTGATCTGGCTTTGCAACGAATTTCGAGCCTGGCTGAAGGAGCCAGGGATAGGTGGCTTCAGCTTGGTCCAGAACAGTTGACACTGCTTGATCTTCGGGGAAGAAGATGGAGGCCAATTTGGGAGGAGGGTTATGGACTCCAGAAGCCTTTAGCGGAGTAGGCTTGATAACAGGAGCACGAGTGAGGTGGTAGTTGAGAATTGCCTTGCCATCGGCCTCGAGAATGGACTTTGCTGACATTGTTGCGGCGGTGAGGTGAGGGGTAACAGTGCGAAGGGTTCAGGGACAGTCAATTGGGAATATTTGACCAGGATTTTTGAGATAGAAAACACTTAGGAAGACAGAAGACAGCAAGGACAATAGACAAGGAGGTCAAGTCTGAATTGCCGAATCGAAAGTGCGAATGTGAGTTGTAAGGAGGAACAGTATGAACACAGCCGGGGGCCAGATTTCACTGTTTGGCTCAGTTTACAGTTGGACTTCGGAGGGAAACAATAATTGCTTGCCCTCGACTTTTTTCGGGTGGATCCCCTCCCTTCCCCTAGAGCCCTGACGTGTGGGTTGTTGGGGGCAGGGGTAGTGCCTTCGGGCGTGAGCTAGGCGTGCTAAACTTATCGAGGGGCATTCTCAGCATGTGTTTTAGGTGTGGAGACAGGGCTACTAGCCCGCGCCAACGCCAGGGACAAACCGCCCGCCATCTCCATCGTCCATCGTTCTCGTCTCCATGGTGTTTGACCGACAATCCCCAACTGTCGGTCACCGCCAAAAAAAATATATTGGCCCTGTGACGTTGAGACTGAAGAAGATTGTAATGCCGAACTACTAGTCATCCATTGGGAATCCAACCACCTCTTTCACTCATTAAGTTACACAAAGACCGAAACATGATGACTATCAGCACCAAATTTCCAGTTGGCTCGGTTTCGAGCACCGATTGAGCGTTTTATTGTACGAGTAGCTTCGGTGAATCTGGACAGATACGAGGAATAGTTGCCCTGGAGGAGGCGGGTATAGGCTGCATAATGCGTTGTAGTTCCACCGGGCTACGAGATACGACGTGCACTTGTTACGGGGGCCGGACTCCGAATAGTCGGGCACGCGAGAACGATCTTTTCCTCCCAATCGATAGGTGACTCAATAGTCCTTCAGGCCCGCTCCCTGCAGACTCAGCGGATATGGTTCCAGGGGTCTTCAGCCTCTCCCAGTTCTGGGGCCCCAATAAGGTATAGTGGCAGCTGATAGTGCCCCTGGGCTGAAAGGCTTGAGTGGCGAGTGGGCTGTCCATGTCCAAGTCCCCCCACTCCAATTCTCACCGCCCGGAGAGTCTGCTGGTCCATGGCGGGATGTGCTAGAGCCTAGAGGTGGTGGGCTTGTTGATGGTTGCCCTCAACACAATATTGGGGGCCGCCAATTCCTATTTTCGGGCATTCGCCCAGGAGCTTCTCACGGTTGGGTCGCGCAGCTAACTAACCGGACCTGCCTCAACAGACGATCCCTAATCCAGTCGGCGCACCCTGTGTGGTCCCTCAGGTCCCTCAGCATCATCTGCGCTCTCCACAACTGCGCACTGGCGGGCGACCCTTTGTTGTACCCTTGGGGGAGAGAAAGTGAACACCATCTCATCCACCACCAACACCGGGCTCAATTCCTCTGGCCACAACTTTTTCTTCTCCTCGTCGGCGATTTTGATCTCTGCTCATTTCCACGCAGTTTGCTTCAATCTCTTTCTGTTGCCCTCCAAAGCTCAACAACCAACCCCCTTCCCTAATGTAAGTCCCATTGAAAGTATCTATTGCTTCACCGAGATCTGCGTTGAACATTTTGTCCCCTTACACACCCCTCCCTCCTATTATACTCTCCTGGCCAGACGACTGAAGGCTAAAGTTTCTCTCTTGTCTTTCCATCACTTGTACTGTTGTCTTCTCATTACCAAGTACTGTCCTCCGCTTCAGCTGGCTAACACAATGGGCATTCCAGTCCGTCAAAACTCCCCTGAGAACGCCGCTTCCGCTATGCCTTCTGCTACATCTGGCGCCGCCAGCAATGGTGTGCCCACGATTGACATTCCCAATGGGGACAACATAGACTCCGAGACTCCTTTCTCTGCCAACGATAACATTCGTCGATTTGCTCCTCCCTCGAGGGGACTGAGCCCATCCCAGAATGCCCTCTTCCACAACAAGACCAGATGTTTTGTCTAGTAAGTAATTCCTTGGACAAGAGGCGCAAGAGATCTGACAGTTCCAACAGTGGTATGCAGCCCAAAGCCGTCCAGGGCATGCTGGACTTCGACTTCATCTGCAAGAGATCGACCCCGTCCGTGGCCGGTATTATTTACACTTTTGGCGGTCAATTCGTCAGCAAGATGTACTGGGGTACCAGCGAGACTCTCCTCCCAGTCTACCAGTCCGTAGAGAAGGCCTTTGAGAAACACCCTGATGTGGACACAATTGTCAACTTCGCCTCTTCACGTTCCGTCTATAGCTCCACTATGGAGCTGATGGAGATTCCCCAGGTTCGCAGCATTGCCATCATTGCCGAAGGTGTGCCTGAACGACGTGCCCGTGAGATCATGGTCAAGTCAAAGGAGAAGGGAATCACAATCATTGGGCCCGCCACCGTTGGTGGCATCAAGCCCGGTGCGTTCAAGATTGGCAATACTGGTGGCATGATGGACAACATTGTTGCGTCCAAGCTCTACCGCAAAGGTTCCGTGGCTACGTCTCCAAATCCGGCGGTATGTCCAACGAGCTCAACAACATCATCTCACAAAACACCGATGGTGTCTACGAGGGTATTGCCATCGGTGGTGACAGATATCCCGGAACTTCCTTCATTGACCACCTCCTCAGATACCAACAAGAGCCAGAATGCAAGATTCTCTTGCTTCTCGGTGAGGTTGGTGGTGTTGAGGAATACCGAGTGATCGAGGCTGTGAAGAAGGGTCAAATCACTAAGCCAATTGTCGCCTGGGCTATCGGAACTTGCGCCAGCATGTTCAAGACCGAAGTTCAATTCGGCCACGCTGGTGCTTCTGCCAACTCACAGCTCGAAACTGCTGTTGTGAAGAACCAGAAGATGAAAGAGGCTGGCTTCTTTGTCCCTGATACCTTTGAAGACATGCCCAATGTTCTCAGCGAACTCTACCAGAAGCTGGTCAAGCAAGGCACTATCAAGCCTGCGCCTGAGCCAGCTGTCCCCAAGATCCCCATGGACTACGCATGGGCGCAAGAGCTCGGTCTTATTCGAAAGCCTGCCTCCTTCATCTCTACCATCTCCGACGACAGAGGTCAGGAACTGCTCTATGCGGGTATGCCCATTTCGGACGTTTTCAAGGAGGAAATTGGTATCGGCGGTGTGATGTCGCTGCTGTGGTTCCGTCGCCGCCTGCCTTCCTATGCAAGCAGGTTCTTGGAAATGGTGCTCATGTTGACTGCTGATCACGGTCCGGCCGTGTCTGGTGCCATGAACACCATCATCACTGCTCGTGCGGGCAAAGATCTCATTTCTTCTCTGGTCGCTGGGCTGTTGACCATTGGCTCTCGATTTGGTGGTGCTCTTGATGGTGCTGCTGAAGAGTTCACCAAGGCCTTTGACAAGGGCTGGTCTCCGAGAGAGTTTGTTGACACGATGAGAAAGGAGAACAAGCTGAGTACGGCAAAGCCCCAACCCACTGCCAGATCCATTTGCTAACTTTTGCAGTTCCTGGAATCGGTCACCGAATCAAGTCTCGCAACAACCCCGATTTGCGGGTCGAGCTTGTCAAGGACTTTGTCCTGAAGCACTTCCCCTCGCACAAGCTTTTGGATTATGCTATTGCCGTTGAGACCGTGACTACCTCCAAGAAGGACAACCTGATCCTGAACGTCGACGGCTGCATTGCTGTCTGCTTCGTCGATTTGCTCCGAGACGGAGGCTCCTTCTCCGCCGAAGAAGCTGAGCAATATCTCGGTATTGGTGTTCTGAACGGTCTTTTCGTCTTGGGTCGTTCCATCGGTCTCATTGCCCATTACTTGGATCAAAAGAGAGTAAGTTCTCCACTGTTGCCTCGGTGTGCACCGGTTACTAACGTTCTTTTTAGCTCCGCACTGGACTGTACAGACATCCTTGGGACGATATCACCTACCTTGTAAGCCTAATGCGCTCTACTGTCCCTAGAATTCGCCACTAACTTTGAACAGCTGCCCACCATTGGAAAGACTCCCGGAAACGAAGGTCGTGTGGAAGTCAGCGGGGAGTCATTGTAATTTTTCGTGCCAGCGTTGGATTGCAAAGCGTATCGAGGCCACTTCGCGCGTCGGGGTGCGTGACTTTGTTGGGTTCGGCAGGATGCAACATCTGTGGTACTGGGGTTTCAAGACAGGGCCGGGAGTTTATTATCACTTACGAAAGACCATGATGAGGGTACAAAAAGCCTCGGAAGACTGGCGGGAGAAATGGTGGGCTCGGTTCGTGTACAGCAGAATGGTCTTGTAGACGGCGACTGCGCTATGCGTCTTGTTGTCACCATTGCACCGCGCGAATGCCCGCATACAACATTTCCTTTGCCTACATACATATCTTCCACTGCTGTGCTCTTGTTGGATTTACTTGATCTGCGGACCCGATGGCCGTGTAATTCGTAGCTATGCTCATGACGCTGCCACTGATGCTGCCCACTGCCACGATCTTCTTCTCTAACAACAATACCTCTCGTCGAAAAGAATAGACACACAAACAGATCACAAAACGAATGATAGAAGAAAGATACCTGCAAAGCCAATTCCCATGGGGCCGAGAGTGAGTCAGGGAGATATGCAGGATAGACTCAAAAAGGTTGATGTCGTGACTCTTGACACGGCGTGCGAGCTAGCGTGCTCTCTTTACTTCTTCGGGTGGTGAGCATGACGCCAGCCACGAAAGAACACGCTTCATGGCAAGCCTCCGGTCTGCAGAGCGAGCTCTCTAAGCATTCTTCAGACAGTTGTCGATGACCTCGCACATTTCGAGGATCTTCTCTTCCTCAAGTCGCCTGCCGACAATCTGCAAGGCTACGGGCGCTCCGTGGTAGAACTCGGCGTCATAGTCTTGTTGGATCCTGCCGTCAATGTCGCTTAGTGGTTTGAAGGTGTTCATGTCTCTGGCCTTGTCGAGCTCCTTATCGGCAAAGGTGACGGGAAAGGTGCAGGCGCCAAAGTCTAGTTGTTTTCCGTGATCAGTATAGATAAGGTTACAATGTAATAGAACAAAGAACCGTGCTTACCCAAAAAGTTGACAAAGCCCGTGTAGCCAACATACAAACTCTGCCTCTGTGTCTGACCCAACCGAGGGGCTGCCCATGGCGATGTGGCACAGATGATGCCGTCTAGTCGTGGTTTCTCGTCGGTGGCAGTCGCATTCCAGCGGTCAAGATAGGCTTTCTGCAGTTCATTGCGCCGGAGGTTCATCATCCGCATCTTGGTCGGCCCAAGCTCACCCTCACCAGCGGCAGCCGCCAGTGCATATCCTTCCATGCTAGGGAAAACCGGCTCTCCCCAAGGCTTAATGAGGTCCATGATGGCAGCGCCACCAAGATCGAAGAAAGCTGCTTGGAGATTCTGGGGCCGTCAGGAAACAACTTAAACGGTGCTGAGAACGTGGCAACACATACCTTGACGATCGCTTCATGATCCTCGGTGGACCAAGGGATAACCTCGTGGCCTTGCTTTTCCAGCGCGGCTTGGGTCATTTTCAAAGCCCGCTCCACGGGTGGATGAACGTGAACGAGGCTGTCATGGACGCCAATCAGGCCAAAGCGGAGCTTCCGTCCTGGTGGCTGGATGACATTGCTTTTCCATGGCAGCGGAACAACCTTGTGGTCATATTCCCAAGGTTTCACGTCTTCAGACAAGAGAGCTTCAGAATACAGCTGGAGCGTTTTCAAAGATCTCGCCATCGGCCCGTTGACTGACAAAATATATTCCTGTCCCGCTATACCTGGCTTGGCCCCATAATGCGGATAGCGACCAAAGCTGGGTTTCAGACCATACAGATTGCACCATGCTGCAGGAATGCGGATACTGCCACCGACATCTGTACCAATACCTAGCGGTGAGGCTTTGAAGGCTATCAGAGCTCCTTCACCACCACTAGATCCTCCGGGTGAGAGGAATTTGTGCAAAGGGTTCCGCGTTTCACCCCAGACATTGTTGTTTGTTTCAGCCATCATCATGGCTACAGGGACATTTGTCTTGACATAGAAGACTGCGCCCAAATTTCGCAGAATGGTGACGAGCAACGAATCCTTTTCGAGAGGCTCATTGGCAAAAATCGCCATCCCGTTGCTAGAAGGATGTGGTGCTGTTATGAAGCAGTCCTTGAGCGAGATAGGCAGTCCATGGAGAGGGCCGATAGTCTTCCCCGTACGTTCCAGGTACTCATCGAGGAACTTTGCCCTTTCGATTGCCTCTGGATAAAGCACTTCAGTCAAGCAGTTGGTCAATTCTTGGGCTAGAGCAGAGGCCTTCGAGAAGGCTTTGGCAACTTCGAGTGCCGTCCACTGCTTTGTTCTGATCTTTTCGAGGATCACATCGGCTTCTGATTGAATGATTTGACGCTCATCGTCGGTGTAGTAGTCAGATTTGAGCGCATACTCGGTCAGGTTGTTGGGCAAGTCTGCTTCATTCCATCCTGGAGTCTTGTAGAAGGCGGCAATATTGGCAGCCCTTCTCTTACGAGCTATTGCCGAGGCCTCTTTGTAGTCACGCGTCGCCATCTTCGTCAAAACTTGGATCAGCAGGACGGACAGGTCAGCAGGAAGGTTGAACTGGATAAACAACACGACCGAGCAGCATTTCGACCAAATCTCGAGCGCGGATTAGGGCGTCGACTGCGATCTCGGAGTTAGCACAATCAATGCACGGGAGTCTATCTTGTGCCAGATGAGCATTGGTGGGCAACAAGCATGGAGGAATTGGGTACATACTTTAGTGCCGAGGTGTTACATTTGACCGTCGATGTCCGAGAAGGGTGGAAGGGGTCATTTTGGTCCTTTCGTCGTCTATCGCCGTCAGTGAAGATACAGACTGCGCCACATCAGCGTGCGGGGTGTCCGTACAAGTCTGCGCATGACGCCATAGCACGTGATGTCACCGCCACAAACTTGGGCTCGGAAGTGACGGGGTTGGCCAAGCCGGAGAAATCGATGAGTGATCGGCCGAAATATCTGGGCGTGCTGGGTAAACGAAGTGGCTGGGTGATGTGCGTAATAGGCATCAGTCTCGACCTTAGGGGGCCCATGTGGACACCGCCAACCACCTGAAAGGACAGCCGGGTGACCACTCAGAGGGCACGAGGCACCCGGAATTGGGCGAGTTCTCTTCAAAGGAGGGGTCCTTCTATTGCCTTTGCCGCGGGGCTGGCTCAGCTGCGCATTGCCAGTTTCAAGGCCCCGTCTGATGAGTGAATAAGTGCTGAGTCCGGATTCACCATCATCCATCCTCAACCGCAACTCATCCTCCCGAAGCTGCGCAAGCTCTTCCCACATTAATCCCAGCTCGCTATAAATCATCTTAAAATCTTCTCTTCCTCCATCGACCTATCCTTTTCCTTCGCTATTCGGATACCAAACCACACCCACTTCAGATTTTAAGTCTATCCTGTACTTCCTAGTCTACTCCTAGTCATCCTCACGCCATCCACACAATGTCCGGACCTTACGATTCCTACGGAGGCGGTCAGAACTACGGTAGCCAATATCCCCAGCAAGGGTACGGTAGCGGTCAAGGCTACCCGCCTCAGCAGTCATACGGCCAACAGTATCCTTCTCAACAAGGCTACCAACAATACCCTCCTCAAGACCAGGGCTTCGGCCCACCTCGCCGACAAGATTCCTTCGGCCCCCCTCAGTCTGGTGGCTTCCAGCATGGACAAGCTGGTTACCAGTACGGAGCCTACGACGCCAGCAACCCCCAAGGCCATTCAGGATACTATGGCAGTAACCAACCTCAGCAGCAGCAATATGGCGGCAACGATGCCTATGCTCAGAACCAAGCCTACCAGTCACAAATGGGACAGGGTCAGCATGGTGGCCAACAACAAGCCCAGGGTACAAGTCTGCCACCGGAAGTGGCCAACCATCAGTTTTCCCCTCAATCGACTGACCCCAATGCGCCCAACTACGACCCCAATGCTCCCCCCATGACCGAGAGTGATCGCGGCCTCCTCGGCGCTGTCGGCGGCGGGTTTGGTGGTCATTTCTTGGGCAAACAGGCCGGCCATGGCTTCCTAGGAACCATCGGCGGTGCCATCCTCGGCAGCGTGGCTGAAGACTTTTTGAAGGATAAGAAGAAGCAGCATCATAGCAGCGGCAACAGCAGCTGGGGTGGTGGCAGCCGATACTAAGTTGATGGATACATCAACAAGACTTTTTTTTGCGGCAACTGCTGCTTGTTGGGAGGTCCTTTCAACACCATGGATGGGTTCTTTTTTCTTTGTTTCCTTTTTCGCGAGATGAGCTGATACAGACGGGAATACTTGGTCACGACTCATGACAAACACTGTACTTGGTTTAACTGAACTGCCTTTCCAGCATGCATCAGAGTATGCTTATGCTTTTTCATAAGTCAATGGCTGCGCAAGGGACAGGGAAGGACTTTCGGCATCCATGAAAGGAATTGACGATATCACTTCACCCCGATTCATCTCGTCATTCATAAACTCAACGTGTCTAGATTTGCTTCGTGTGTCTAACTGCATAAGTAACACCCAGCCCAGCAACCGGGTAACCGTTTTACCGCGTCACGGCGTCACAAGTGTGCTGACAAGGCTTCTCCTCCAGTTGTGCCAACTTCGCTCGCATTCTTGCCCAAGTCCTTGAACCCAACATACCCGTTGTCAATGACCCTCTGGATATGGCCGTAGAACAGCTTCAAGCCGCCAAAATAGAAGCGCATGGCGTACTTCTTGCCCGGGATGTTCCGCCCAAAGATCCAGCTGGCCGTTTCCTTAAACAGGCTGCCCTCGGCGACGCGCTCGCACTCGAGACCCCATTCCTTCTCGGCTTCGGGCGTCGCCTCGATGAGCGGCACCGGGGCGGATGCCGGGTTGGATTTGCGCAAGGTCTCGGCGCGCTCGACCAGGCGCGAGATGAGCTCGACGTGGGCTTCGAGCGCGGGGGGTAGGTTCGTAAACGGACCCTGAGGGCCCGTGATCATCAAGAGGTTGGGGAAATTGGGCACCGAGACGCCCAAGTAGCTCGTCGGACCGGTCGGGTCCCAGTATTCCTTGA